ATCTGTGTTGGAACTGGTAGGCGTTGGTATAAACTATTTTGCACTGCATTTCTGCTCATTATTTTCTTTACTACTGAGATTTGAAGAATAAGAAGACAGGGGGAGAATGTAGAAAATGATCGTTAACATAAACGTTGATTCAGCTATTTATTCATCTGCTTTATTTTGTCGAATCACATTCAGATTTCGTTAATTTCATTTGGTGACGGATACGAAGTTTCTGAAACGAGTATGTGTAAACAAAATGAAATATCATTGTCTGGTGTCAATTTCCAAAATTCATTCTCTTTTCTGTTACATGAAAACTCGTTCGTTCGTTGGAATCTGCGACAGATAGAAGTGAAATAGTGTTTATTCCTTTTGAAATCACATTCTAAACGAATCGAAGCTGTCACAATTTCTGTACAGTACCTTTCACAGAGATTTCTTTGATTTTTACTTTTATTCAGAATTTTTCTCTTCTTTCGTTTCAGTAAATAATAAAACTTATATCAAAGATGTGAAAATAAATAAAAATGAATAAATCCTCTGATGTACAATTCAAAGGAAAAAGATAATTTTTATCTGTATTTTCGTGCAAATTGGAATGATTTAAAGAGCATCGATGCGAAACGTCACGCAGTGTCGTAAAATTTCGATGAAAAATTACTTTTGATCGCTCGTGTTTGGTACCAGCTACCAAACGCAGCTTTCTAATTTCGAAATGAAATACCTGCAAAAAGAATCGTGAAACTGCTCGGTTCAACCACGTTCCAGCATTAACGTTGCAGAGTTTGGGGGGGTAGTCGGTGCGTGGTTGGTGGCGTGTACGTAGAGAGGATGACAAACAAACCGGCGACGAGCGTATCCGAGCGTCGGAGAAGAAAATGATCGTCGCCGAGTTGGAAGAATGGTTCTCTGGTACGGCGAAGAAGGTCGTAAAGGCCGATGATCTGGCTGAGTGGGTTGAGAAGGTGGAGAGAGAGCAGCTCGGCTGGTACTACCGACGGGGGGAGTCGCAAATTGAATAACAAACGTTCAACCCTCGTTGGTTAAATCACCGAAAAAGCCATCCCCTGCGCTAGTAGGCAACTCGAACATTAACCGCACCCCCCACCGATCGCCCGCGTCTCCGTGCTTTTCGAACCCTCTTGCCACTGCTTTGCATAACGATCATCTTATATTTCGTAATCTCTGCCATATTGATCCGATTTAAAGAACGTACTGTGAAACTGCGGGGTGGGGATGGTTTAAATCGTATGCCAGAGGGTATACTCGATTGAACATTGAATTGGTCGTTGCTAGTTGAGATTTCAGAGATTAACGTGTACCTGTTTCGTAATATTGTTTTATGTGTGAAAAAAGAAAAAAAAAAAAAAAAAAAACGAACGTATCGTTACTATATTACAATTAGTTCCAAAAATTTGCTCACCGTTGGGTTTGTCACGCTGGATTGTCGTGAAATTATGAAATAATTGAAACGCAGAAATTGATTGAAAGGTACATTGAAAAGTGAATATTTGTTGTATGTTTTAAAAAGTATTATTTTCACAAAGCGCGCGAGGATTTTGACGAGTCTCGGTATATTTTTTTACGAAATATATGGTTCACGGGGAATGTTTCGACACTAGAACAATTTTTTGAATGTTGTACGAAAGTAATTATTTATTGCGCGAATGAATTTTAATATTAATTGAGTACATAATTGTATGTCTAACATATTTCTACAAAATGTTTGTAGAGTGCATATTCGAAACAAGTGTCTTACAAATTTTATATTCACTACTTACTATTTTTATTAGCAGTTCGCATACAATGTATTCGTAAAATATATTTAATAAATTTATACAGACCAAGGTCAATCATGACCTGCATGAAACAAAATTAAATCTCGACGATAACTGTGCGTCGTAAATAACGAAACGAACTTCATCCAACGTTTTTCATTGAACGTATTCAATTGAAATCGAAGCAATCTGGCTTCTTCAAATGAACATCTAACGGAATATTATTTGTAATTATGAACGACAGGATTTGGACGCTGTGACTTTAATTAAACCTGACTTTCGTTCACCGCTAAAAACAAATTCGAGAGAATATTTCCCAAACTACCGAGAATAAATCAACTTTCAAGCAAACGAGGCTCCGTCGTTGGCGCAGGTCGTTCAATTTCCTCCATCCGGGATCGCTTTCCATCTAATTACACTGGCTCTTCCCGAACGAACCACGAAGAATCGCGTTTCCTTTTTTTTTTTCTTTTTTTCATCGTACAGCCGACCATAGAGAATACACTTTCGTTTCGCCTGAATTTTCTTCCAGCGACACGCGCGATTAAAAGGAAATTACGCGCGGCCATCGCCGGGTAATTAAATTTATCGAAGCTTACAAGGCCGCGTGTCGCGTATATACACGTCATTATTTAGGCATTAGCCGAGGCAAAAGGCCGAGGGGGCCCACGGGTTCGAACGAGCCGAGTCATCCACGGTAATAACGGCCAAGTGCGCTCGGATACGCGGAGCGGCCTTTTGGACCAGAAATAGGCCAGCAGGAATACACATATCGGCGCGGAGAGCCGGGATGAAAAAACCCTTTTCGGGTTAATCACGGTAAGGAGCGAGATCCTGCCGAGGAAGAAAAAGAAAAAGAACCCCGAGCGGGGCCTGATTTCGTTTCGTTTCGTTCGCGAAACCTCCCGACAATGGGAGAAAACCGCTGGCCGTGATCGTTTCAATGCAAATCGCGCGTGCAACTGCAGCTTGTTATTAATCTTTTGTTCCGTCCAACGAGGACAGACACTTGGCAAGAAGAGCTTGAAGTGAGATCTTTGCAATGGTTGATTTGCACGATTTTTTCTTTCTTTTTTTTTTTTTT